TCCAAGCACGCTATCGTAGAGCGAGCAATACTAACTATTTTTTAAGAACATAATCTAAAACGACTATGGCCAGTACTAAAATAATGTCTGGTTCTGGTAGATGGCGGCTCATTGACCAGTTGCGGAACTCACTCGCCCCGCTGCGCTTTGGGACACACTCTCGGGCCCTGCAAGCAGCCACTTAGCGGCTAGCATATGATAGTCAGGAGGATATTATCAACAACCACAGGGGAGACTGGAGTGGCAATATCTGGCTTATTAGCCGTTAGCAGACAGCCATTTGCAAATTCAGGTGGTGCACAACCCGATCGATAACCCCCATCTACTGTTGTCAATATTCTCGATTGAAACCGATAAGACAACGAGTTCGTGGTGCAGTGGGTTGATGGTTCGAGCCTCGAGTGGTGCACCACTAGTTGGAACTGTGTATGACTGGCTGAAGACGGCTAATATGCCAAAAACGGTCACTCCAGTCACCCCTTGTCATTACCGGTAATTTTTTGCCCATAATGTCTGGCTTATTTGCCGTCACCAGCCAAAGGTACATCATGGTTGAAGTGCAGGGACACTTCATGTCTCGCTGCGGGTCCAATGGGATAAGTAAAATTAAAATTGAGATTTTTACTACTTAGTTTGCTTGTAGATTTTGCATTGCCATTGGTCATGCAGAGTTAAAACCCAACCGAATATACCAACTTCTCGCTTAAAATCAGAAAAGCTCGCAAAAAGCCAATCTCCCATGACCTTCTATCTTCCCGACATTTTCCTAGAGCTTTCGAACCCGGTAGTCCAAATGTTATCACTATCTGATTTGAACGTCCGATTATCCACTGCGCCCAAGTCTAGGTAACAGGTTTAGGAATAATCACTTATTCATAGCAAACAGTTAAACAAATTGGCCAGCCCAGTGAGCCTACTCTATGTTGATAACATTTGTCAACCATGAACTTATAATCTAGATACAAAAAGTAAAAGGGGGTCCACGTGATTGGCGCATGACGCAGGTTTCATTCTGACAGAACAGGGGGTTATAAAATGACCGTCGATGTCCCGGTGGACAGCTCTACTTATTTGGAGGCAGGGGGTTGATTGCAGGACAGCCAGCTGCAATATTGCATAATCCACTGGTACGTATACTATTGCTTAATACAGGGCACTGCCCACACACTGCCAGTGAAGATGATCTGGTGCTATAGTGGAATATTCCAAGTGGAAATCCCATGTCACATGCCAGGCAAAACTGTGTAAAATGTCATGAGACGCCGAGAAGAGGCGCCTGTAGGCAACAGGCAAAAAAGGCATAGCGATTCGATATTTAGAGTAAGCTGAAAGCAAAAGCAAAAACAATACATTGTGAGCCGAAAGCTTCGGAATTTACAGAAAAGCTCACCTTAACAGATTCAAGATATGGCCGATCAGAGCAGAGAAGGGTATCATCACAGTTTAAAACAAGGGCATCGAGTTTGTCTTGTAGATGAGAAAGCCCCGGTTTTCGGGAGGTGCCACCTTTTTTAGATGAAAAAAAAACACTCAGTAACACACTAGGCCCTAATTAAAATAGTACTTTTACGGGTCTTCGTCTCCTCCAGAATGAGTAACTAGGACGTGATGTGCTACTTGCTGGAAACTAAAAATCTGGATTAGCATGAGTTTCCTACGGAGTTTCACACACTTCAGAAGTCTGCGTGGCAGAACGCACGTAGAGTTGCAGCAGAAAATCCCGGAGAGTATATTAGCTTTCTCTACTATTTTTTAACATTTTCAGCAGGCAACGTCAGCTATTGAGAAGAAGAAGACAACTCGATCGCTGGGACAAAACTTTTATTCGCCTGACGTTTCGATATCCGTCGCGGATTCTTTATCAGAAACATAGGCAGAAAGCAGTAGCATAAATAGGTGACGTATGCACAGACAAACAGTCAAAGGCCCGTTACATGATGGAGTACCAAAGAACTCTATAAATTTTTTGTCTCGACCGACAGACGAGGTAGTGATGAATTGGATAGAAAAAAAGCTGACAAAAATTACTACATGTTAATATTTTCAGCAGAATAAGTACGGGTTTGCAATTCGACAGGATTTGAATGAATTTAAGTAAGTCTTCGGTATTTCCCCGTGGGAATTTTCTCAGAAGTGGTTTATGAAAGCCGCAGCTTCCACACAGAGACTCTTTAACTGGTCATAAAGCGCATGCAACCGAATCGCCAAAATGTACTCGTGCGAGGATCAAGGCACAAAACCGAGAAACTGATTTTATGTAACATTTTCAGCAAAAAGACAAGGTTAGATTAATTTTAGTGAACAGAAGACCATCGAACTGGAGGCTGCTAACAAAAAACGAGCTGATTTTTCGTAAAAACTAGCATAAACTTCAAGTCATCCGAGAGTAGCTGTTCAACGGCAAAAATATGTGTGTGCCCAAAGAAAAGCGGTGTATTCAAAGTCTAAAACCAGTTTGACTAAACAAAGGAAGACGTTATTGGTTAATGGACGTTCACTGATCGCTATCGGGTCTCACTCATCCCGTTCTGCCCTGACGCTCACTCTCGGGCCACGCCGACAGCCGGACAGCGGCTCTTTCTCTCTTCTCTTTCTCTCTTTACCATGGGCAAATGAACATTACCGACCTGGGTATTGATGTTTCTGGCAATACGATCCACATATGACAACCCAATAACGCACAACGGAGTGTACTGGAGACGTCAGGTTGGCATTAAGGATCATTCTAAAGCGACCTTTCCGGCAGCA